GTTTCTGTGGCTGGGTGGGAAATCTGCCTGTTAGGACTTGTAAAAATCTGCTCTACTACAGGCCCAGAAGCTCTCCCAGGAGGCAGGGGCCCAGGTTTGAGGACACTTCTCTAAGGACTGGTAACTCTTCTGATTTAACTCTAGTCCTTATCTCATGCTGTAGACATTTGATATTGAGAAGAAATGCTCTGTGGAGAGAGAAAGTATTTCCATGTTAACCATGCTGACCATACTTAGGCAAAGGCCAATGTGTAGGTACAGTGTTAAAGAAGGAAATATTTGGATATTTACAGGGACAGGACTAAGGGGGAAAAAATGAAAGCTCTTGATAATGCACAGAAACTAGTAAAATAAAGACCATAGGTAGCTAGGAAGGGATCTGGACAGTGGCCAACATCTCTGAGAGCAACCTGCCACACAGATGTTTAAACATTACACTGTTTGCTAGTTGTTTTATGTAAAGCAAAGGTTTAATACATAAATACTTAAAAGTTGACAAATTAAAAGACTACAGCATCAAATCAACTCTAAATAATAATGTCACTGTATTTTAAGCTGGTGAAATTTAAAACACCATTATAACCAGAATTCTATGCTGATAAGATGAATGTTGAAATTCATTGCAACTGTGGCCATTAATCATGTATAAGTAATCATGTGCAGTTTAATAATGCATCTTAGGGTAAGCCTACTTCCTTAACATCTCTTTTCTACTGAGTTACATGCACTATGCTAAGGGCCAAAGAATTTCTTAGCTCATCCAAATCTATGGATTTGCTTAAAAAAAGAGTCTGACAGCTTAACCAAAATATAAAATTATGAAGTAGAATTAGAACAGTATTTACGAATATGAGTTAACATTATCATATCCTTACATTTATTAGACCAGAGTTTCTATAATTATGAAAGAATATATTCCCAAATATTGTTTTATAAATTTCATGATGCAGAATAAAAAAACCTCTATGCCATTCAATACTCATTTTAAGTTAAATTTTATTCTACTGTGAACTAAAAAAGGAATGCCAGATCTTTATGCCAAAAAGAAGACTCTCACTAAACACACATTAATCAAATGTCATGCCTGTAGCTTTTTTCTAATCCCATAGCTAATGCAGAAAGTCAATAAAAATATAAAGGAATGTGGTACTTGCATTGTAATTAAAAAATGCACAAATTCACAGTGTATGAAAAATGTCAATGGTAGAGTGCTGCCCCCAAGTGGCATAATGATAAATTGCAATACTCTGATGGAAAAGAATAGCTATTCCTATTTCTCAATAGCTATTTCCTATTTCTTTGATTAAATCTAAAAATGCATATTACATAAACTTAGATTTCACATGGGCTATTAATAAGTGTCCTATAGACCATCTCCCAACTCATGGTATATCCAAGTCACTCTTTTAACTAGGGATACCAAGACATAGTCTGGTATATAAGGTTATGATACACTTTCCTTATAATCTCAAAAGATTAGGGGTGTGGAGTCAGATCTACTCTGATCTATTAAGGGAACAGCATTCAAAACATCATAGAAATCTTTTTAGAAAGTATTATTTTCTACCCATCTCGGACATTAACCAATTCCCTATGTTTATGGCCTAATATGTAAAGCACGATTTAAAACCTTATCTAATCAAATTGCTTGGCGAATGGGTGGTACTAATTAATGTGCTTTGCTCACAAATTGAAGATTCAACTGTCAACACTCTGGGGAAAGAATCTAAAAAAATATGAGTTTAATTTTCTGCTTCTGTACATGTATTAAACATAATCACTGATGAGTTGCTATTTTATGTAGCTAAAAGGTAAACATTCTGAGGATCAGTTGCTTTTGGACAGTCATAGAGATAAAAAAAAGAAGAGATGACAACAGAACTGCTACAATCTCAAGAAAGATCCCTGAATAAGATTTTAAAATCACATGCTTGAGATCAGATTGCTTTGAGAGATTTCTCTCTTAAAAGTAGAATGCAAAAGAAAAACTTCCACTTAATAGAGAGTGCCAAATGCAGTTATTGGGTGGTGACTAGATAAAGTTTTATTAGGCTTCCTTTAATTATTCCTTTAACTTGGATTATTTACAAATAAAATGAATCTCAACTGCTATTGAATGATATCCATAAGGTAATATGATAATATTCTATATTTTATACAACTATTTACAAATAAATTTTTATCTATTTATAAGTACATCTTATATTTATATATTATGTAATCTTTATTATATAATTATCTATTTATCTTGATGTCTTATACATATAGATAGATAGATATCTTATTTAACCCTATTACAATCCTATGAAGTATTACATCCATCTTACAGATAAGAAAACTAAAGCTCAGATTAGGAAACTGCATAACCTTAATCTTATAGTTAAGAACAAGACTGGCGGTGTTATGCACAAACAATGAATCATGGAACACTACATCAAAAACTAATGATGTAATGTATGGTGATTAATATAACAATAAAAATTTTTAAAAAATTAAAAATAAAAAGAACAAGAGTGGCTTTACATCTTGACCTGTTCACCTCCAAAGCCTGTGGTCTTAACTGTGACAAGTTACAGCCTTCCTTCTAGCATTCTAGGATTTTGTGAGCAGCCATAGCCATGATTCTTCATGATTTTAGCAGTGAGTTCTAAAATCAATTGATCTAAAATCAAATGTCTACAAAGACAGGCAGGTAGTAGAAAGGTGTGATACAGCTGCGTATAAGAGACAGTGAAGAGTAGCAGCACATGGCTAATTAAAGAGCACAGGGTCTAACTAAAGGGGGTGGCTGCTACCCACCTCCAGCCCATGTGTTAGCAAATGTCACCAAATCTTTTGGTTTGTATTTTTCCCCAAGAGAAATGAAAAGCTCGATTTTTACGACACTACCCTTTTAAAATACTAGCAACTAATTTAGACTAAAAAAGAAACACTATTCAGGCCAAACAAAAAACATCTGAAGGCTAAACGTAGCCTGTGTGTAATATGTTGTAGAGATTCTGATGATGATTCTTTTTCAAGAGATTCTACACTAGACTTCCTGGTATCAAATAATTTGTCAATTATCCTCATTATTGGATTCATTCCACACACCTAGGCTTCATCTGCCATATTCAGCTCAAGTTAGGTATTTTCAGAGTAGTAGTGCAAGTACAGGAAAAGTTATTGACAAATCACTTCCCAGCCAACCAGCCCCTTCCTCTCTCATTTCTCTCCCCCTGCCCCCCCAACACCTACACACTTTACTCACCCACCATCTCAAGTCTGAAGCTTTTAAGTTTGGTCTTCATATATATTATTTTGCATCCCTTTGTTCAACTTTTTAGCCCTCCTGTGAATTCTCTTAAAATTCTTCACATTTCTCACTCACTGAAGAAACCAAAATTAGATATAGTCTTTATGATCGGGGTGGAAGCAGAAAAATGTTCACCTTTAGCCCAGAGGCTGACCTATAGCCTGCATAGTTTCAATAAAGATAAAATACATACTGGCTGCCACATTCTTTTTTTTTTTTTTTTATCTTGCAAAAGTAGTTTTACAAGTAGAAATTCAAAGAAAACATTTATGATCTAATGCTCCCTGGGCATCCCCTCCCCCTTGAGCACTAACCATAAAACCACCAGCTTCATACAGTAATGTGCAGCTCTTTCAGCCCACGGGTCCTAACCCTGTGCTATAATAAAAGCACCTTTTTGCACCGAAAATGTCTCAAGAATTCTTGACCATTTGCTTCTGGCCCCACATCACTTACAATGCGACTTTTACACGTTCTGGGTCAGATTTAGGTTTTACTCTCAATGTTTCCATAAAGGTACTCTAGTAATTTTCAGAAATTTATCATCCTTTTCTACATGGCTGGAATCATACTTCTAGGATTTACGGAGAAGAATTCTTTTTGAAAGGAGTCATGAAGCATGCTCTAAGGACACCAGAAAAGTGCCAGCACTGTCACTATTCTTCACGTAGGAATTTATTGAAAACTATGAATTCTAGATAATTACTTTTTGAACTGCTGGATATAGAGACCATTTAAAAAGTTGATTTTGAAAATAAAATAGTAGCATCAACATTTACCTTTATAATTCCTATGTAATGTTAAGAAGTAGAACATGTTTATCACATTGATTTTAAATCCAATGGGCAGAAGCTGAAAGAATTTAGAGTAGCCTCAAAACCTCTGAAAAAAAGAATAGATTATGGGATGGAAGTCTATTCTTCTGGAGTTAAGGGCTGATGTCTTGGATCATTCTTCCTTCTGCTTTCTATTTTTCCTGTGTTTCTGATGTACAAGTTTCTCATCTGAACTTCAATTCCAACTAACTTTTCACTGTAGCAAATTCAAACAACTTCAAGCTAGAAAGGAAGATTCATCCTTATCATACCAACCAACAGCATTATGAGTTTTTCTCTACTATGAAAGTTTAAGGGTCCGATCAAAATCAAAGAAAAGGAAGTAACAAGAGGGTCCTCAATATTATTAAGCTAATTTTAGATGGAGCCCCTGTTTGGTTTAAATGTCTAATTTGTGAGCTGTGTGACTATAGGCTTTGAAAAATTCCTTCATAGAAGCAAAAAAAATTAATACCATATTTCCCTTAGTACACCCCATTCACCTCTAGTATGAATTACCATTTATTTGCATTTCATAACATTTTTAAAATTGCCATCATTATAAACAATTCTTACTTTCTCATTCAAGAAGTCCCAATCAAGTTAAGTGGAAGCGATGTTGTAATTGAGACTCTGGGATGCATAAAAATAATATTTTCACTTCATCTATCCCATTTCCCTTTTCTAGGTCATTTGGGTACTTCACTCACCTGCTGAAATGCTTTTAAAAATCTTATCTGAAGACACCATTCAAGAAGCTTTTCTTTCGCTTACTAAATTCTTAGAATCTTAAATGCAAAGAGCAAATGGTTACTCCATGTTCTTAATCAGCTAAGAGCTATACATACAGGGCAGCCAACTCAAAATTTGTATGAAGTATTTTTACTTACAATTCCTCTCCTTGTTTTGCTTTCTTGTCTGAAACCAGATAGACAGTTCCAAAACTTCCACTACCAAGTTTTTGTTGAAGCACATATCTTCTTGCAATCAAGGTCTTTGGATAAGTAGAAATGGCTATTGATCCATTCGCACACTTAGCAGCCTCTTGGAATTTCAGCATTGCTCCAAACAAGAGAGAACTGGCTTATTTGTATATAGAAATTTAACATTCAAGTCTCCTAGAAGATGGCCAAATTCATCCAAGTAGCTTCAGTCAACAATCCTTTAAAAGTGAAAAGACCAGAGATCAGGTCTAAAGAATGCTGAAGTATTCCTAACAATAGGTGTTAAGTTTTTGACATTGATACCTGCACCTTGAATAGTGGATTCAATGACACCATATTTAAAGACTTGAGAGAAAAATGTTAAAAGTAGTGATACTGGCAGATTCTAGTAGAAGACAGTCTTTCCACAAGAAAAGAGCCTTCCCTGGGGTGCCTGGGGGGCTCAGTTGTTAAGCATCTGCCTTCGACTCAGGTCCTGATCCCAGGGTCCTGGGATCAAGCCCCGCATCGGGCTCCCTGCTCAGCGGGAAGCCTGCTTCTCCCTCTCCCACTCCCCCTGCTTGTGTTCCCTCTCTCGCTCTCTCTCTCTCTGTCAAATGAATAAATAAAGTCTTAAAAAAAAAAAAAAGGAGAGAGCCTTCCCTCATACATCCAAATATGGCAAAAGTGAGTTACAGTTAAACAATCTGTTTAAGATTTATACTCCCCACCTACTTCTTAAAAAAATCCAAATATAAGAACACTATAATTTCCTTAAATTTATACATTTGCATCAATCTTTTTGTAATTCTTCCCACCTTATGTCTGTTTTGATTAACAAATAGTGAGTTCGGATTAAACTAGAAATTAGCATAGAATTTTTTCTGTAGGCATTAAACCATGGTATTTGCATTTATTAGAATAGATGTGAAGAGGAATAAAGATTTGAGAATTTTTTTCCCATCCTAAACAAATTCTGGTCCAGTTTCTGAAGTTATTATACACACTGTGTATAGAGTAATCACTCTGGATTGGAAACAAGAAGTGTGCAAATGCGGTTCAAACCACAAATTGTATTTTATGATAGTTGAATATAAATGTGTTGTAATTCCTCAAGGAACTATAAATATACAGCAGGATTATGAAAAGTAGGACTGCTTCATATGAGTGTATGCCCAGTAAAATCACTTTTATTTCATCAAAATGTAAAATGTTTTGTTAGTTATCATGAAAAGTGGGTTTTGTTTAAAATCTAAGAAAACATGATTTTAAATTGAAGACTGCCTATGCCTTGGAGTCAAGTTCCCATATTCAACTATTCCAAAGCTCTAACACAAAAACTTATTGTGTATAATGATAAAACAAGATGCTATCTGTGTAGTGTGGGGTATATGAACAACAAGCTTCACATGGTGGTGACAATTACAAAAATCCTCAAATTTAAGCATAAACAGTAAATGTCCATTTACAGCATTTTTCTTCTTGAAATAATGCATTAATCAGTTAAGTTTTACCTGATGCCAGTGAGAAGTATTCTAGTAACCAGCCTTAAAAAAAAAAATTAAGAAGAGGGGTGTGCCTTGCTGGTTCAGTGGGTAGAGCATGCCACTCTTGATATCGGAGTTGTGCGTTTGAGCCCCATGTCAGGTGTGGAGATTACTTAAAAATAAAACCTTAAAAAAAGGGAAGAAAGAAACCAAATCATCTGGTGGCTATGAGCTCACACTAAACAACAATAGCATTGGGTTGGAACTTCAGAGCTGGGGCCCATACCTCAAAACCTCTGAATAAATAAAAAATTATGTCAGAATATCAAGATCACAGAAGATACTAGTGGAATCTACTATTGAAAAAACAACTGGAGAGCAGGCCTCTATATGTGTATTTTGTCTGCTTTCTGTGGTCCCATAAAAGTGTTACTTTCTGGCCAAATTAAGGTGTTAAGAAAAATATATGGACTCAGCCTTTTCAACCGAAAAGAACCCTTCCGATCACCCAGTAATTTTCCTTATTTTAGGGATGAGATAACGTTTAGTGAAGGACAGAACAGTTCTGAGAAGTCCAATCTTCCAGGGACTCCTATTTGTAAATGAGCTTTTATTTTTTTTAATAACATTTATTTATTTATTAATATTTTATTTATTCATGAGATAGCGAGGCAGAGGGAGAAGTAGGCTCCCAAGGAGCAGGGAGCCCAATGCGGGACTCGATCCCAGCACTCTGGGATCATGACCGAAGGCAGACGCTTAACCATCTGAGCCACCCAGGCGCCCTGTAAATGAGCTTTTAAACCCAGCAATGTCATCTACGCAGTCTGGCCAGGTCCTCAGAGTACTTTGGGACTAGGTTCCCAGACTCAGCCCTGCCACCCCCTTCCCCAGTCCACCTTTAGGCCATCGACTCCATTAATCGGCTCTGTGCAACCACAGAGCTACCCTAGTAGGTCACCTGCCATCTAGATTCTAGAACTATCTGTTCGTTTGTCAACGTTCCCTCGCCCCCACCTCATGAAGGTTGTGAATGAAGTTGAGCGTCAGGAACACACCCTATCTTTGTATCCTTGGCTCCCGTCACAGAGTGGGTGTTCAATACGGTTTGTTAAGGCAAACAAGCGTCCAGCAGACCGACTGTTGCCCAAAGGAGGGGAAAAAAGGGGGGGGGTGGTGAGAGGAGTGAAGAGAAGATTTATAAAGTTGGATGGGCACCGTGAGAAAGGTGAGAGATTACCTCCTGCAAACTGACCCTTGGAGGTAAAACTAGCTGGTTGGGGGCAAAAGGCAAGGGAAGGAGAGTGTATCACAGGTTGAAGTCAAGTAGTTCTCTCACTGGTAATAAATGAGAGGAAGCAAATTTGACACCAGATTCTGCTAAAGTAGAACGCTAACCGTAAAGGTCTAACGAACATTCCTTGCCTCAACTACTTTTAAAAAAAAAATTACATTTTCGCAAAGCGGGTTAACCTATATGGAGAAGGCGCCGGCAACACTGATTCTCCGCAGACTGGAGCAGACCCGGGAGGAAAGGAGCTGAGGGAAGTGAAGAGGTCGCGGGCATGGAGGCCCACTGATGCGGATCTCGGCTGGGGCGGCCTGAAGCCATCACCTTCCCCCGCTTTGGGGAGCCCGGCACGCCCCGAGGAGCGCCCTTCGCCTTTCGCATACCTTTCGGTGTCGAGGGCTGAGGAGCGGAGGCCGGGACACGCCCACAGTCCCACCAGTAATTGGGACGTATGTTGGGCAGGTCTCAGGTAGGTGCAGCCGAGCCGCCGAGCTCCAGGACCTCCCGGCACCGCTGTTGGGCGCCGTTGCCAGGGAGACAGCGTGGGGCATGCTGGGAAGCCTGAGCGAGGCGGCCCAGTGCGGGTCCCCGAGGCGGAAGTGTGCGCCGACCCAAGTGGGCGGGGAAAGACGATCAGGCCCGAGCGGCTTGGCTTTCCTAACCTGACAGCCGCCATTTCGGAGCTTACTCCCCGGTCCTCCTTTATAGACCTCGCGCCTCCAGGCCCGGGAGCACCTGCCCCCGGCGCAGTCTGGCACCACTGGCTTCATGGAACTGAGCTTCCCAGTGACGTCATACCCGGAGACTTCCGGTTCCCGCTCTTGAGGTTGGAGTCTCACGTGCGGGCGTTTCCAGCAGTGGCTCCCGCAGTCTTTTAATGGAAGGGCTGGTGCTCTGGGAGGAAGATGCAGGTGGGCTCTGCTGCTGGTCCGGGTAGCGAGTTGTAAGGGTTGTGGTGGCGTGATGTATGAAGGCCTGTGTTTGACGACTAACATCAGACCTTTTGTGCGCCTTTCTCCTAACCAGCTCGCATTTGTTCAACAACTGTTGTTGCAAGGTCCTGTAATTGGTTTAGGATGAGTTGACATGGCCTCTGTTCGCATAAGCTTTACAAGACATAAATAATTGCTATGCCGGATAAGGTGCTGAGGGTTGGGCTAAAATTAGGGTGAAATGAGTTGGGCGCAAAATGCAAGAGGGTACCCCAAAAGTTTGTAATCAAGATAAATATATTTTAATGCAATATATTTAAAAATTAAAGTTAATGCAAAAGAAATCCATGATTGACAAAATCTCATGGTTTTAAATACAGTGCCATGCTGAGCCATACTGGAGTGTGAGGCCAACGGAAAAGCTAGTAAGACACATCCTGTGACTTAAGTTAGCCAGATAAGGAACTATACTCTTGGTACTGAACCAGATATGCAAAGACAAGAAAATGGAAAGAGCCTCTGGTTAGGGTGAAACTGGAGAGTAAGCTCCTGCATGCTTATGAAGCAGTAATTTTCCTTACTCAAAACTGTGCCAATTAAGATGGGACCTAACACAAGCCAAGGCCTAAAGGAAATTCCCAGACTCTGATTGTCAATAAAGAAAAACTGGATCCATATCATTGACCCTATATACTTTCGTTAACTGAAGCCCAGTGCTCTCTATTAATTATGAGATTGAGGAGGGTATCATTTTTATAGCTTAGGACTTTTTATTTTGGCCCTACACAAATATTCTGTGTTGCAAGATGGTGACCGTTACCTATCTCAATATCAGAGTCCACAGTAGGCTCTATTAGTATGTCAGTAATGGACTTCAACTGATTTTCTTTTAGAACCAACAGCCTCCATCCCTATCCAGAGATTAAACTCCATGAAACCATTGCATTTGTGCCTTGTTACACATGGGGAGAGCTGCTTGAGCACCTAGGTAAGAATTGAGATGCTAACACCTAATATGTTCTGTTTAAAGAGCTGTTCATAATATTTGCTGTTGGGTTTGTGGTGCTGGAAATGATGACTTGGTCCACAGTAAACAGCATCAATTGAAAGTGTGTTTTGTTCTAAACAGGCAGTTCTTCAGATAGTCATCATGGGTATTCGAGGACTAATGAGTTTTGTGGAAGATCATAGTAATGAGTTCTTCACTGATTTGAAGTTGCGAGACACAAAAATTGTCATTGATGGCTATGCTCTCTTCCATCGGCTTTGCTTCAACTCAAACTTGGAACTTCGGTATGGAGGGGACTATGATTCTTTTGCAGATGTTGCACAAAAATTCTTTGAATCACTGTTTGCTTGTAATATCTGTCCATATGTTGTATTAGATGGAGGATGTGACATTTCTGATAAAAAGCTTAAAACTTTAAAGGATCGAGCTAGAGAGAAGATCCAGATGGCTCATTCCCTTTCTGTTGGTGGGGGTGGGTATGTGTGTCCTTTACTCATCCGGGAAGTGTTCATACAGGTTTTAGTCAAGCTACAGGTGTGTTTTGTCCAATGCTTTTCAGAAGCAGATCGGGACATTATGACATTGGCTAATCATTGGAATTGCCCTGTGTTATCATCAGATAGTGACTTTTGCATCTTTGACCTAAAAACTGGGTTTTGCCCATTGAATAGCTTTCAGTGGAGAAATGTGAACACTGTCAAAGGCACACAAGACTGCTATATCCCTGCCAAGTGCTTTTCCCTTGATGCACTCTGCCATCATTTCAGCAATATGAATAAAGCCCTACTGCCTCTCTTTGCGGTGCTATGTGGAAATGATCATATTAATCTGCCCATCATAGAGACATTCTTAAGTAAAGTACGTCTTCCTCTTGGAGCTACGGGTTCTAAGGGGAGGAGACATCACCGAGTTTGGGGACTTCTGAATTGGTTATCTCATTTTGCCGACCCTACTGAAGCACTGGATAATGTTCTGGAATATCTCCCCAAAAAGGATCGTGAAAATGTTAAGGAAATTCTCTGCTGTTCCATGGAAGAATACAAGCAATCTCAGGTGAAGCTGCAGGACTTTTTCCAGTATGGTACTTACGCCTGTCCAGCCGCCTTGAATCTGGATTTACCAGAATGGGTATTAGTGGCTTTGGCCAAAGGCCAGCTATCTCCTTTCATCAGCGATGCTTTGGTGCTAAGAAGGACCATTCTTCACACACAGGTGGAAAATATGCAGCAACCAAATGCCCACAGAGTATCTCTGCCCATCCGGCAAATCATCTATGGGCTTCTTTTGAATGCCTCTCCACATCTGGAAAATATGTCCTGGAATGCATTGCCTTCTCAGCCTCTAGCTTTCAGCGAAATGGAAAGGATTAATAAAAATATCAAAACATCGATTGTTAATGCAGTAGAACTGTCCAAGGATCATTCTGACTTAAGCAAATTGACTGAGGTAAGTGTAACACTAATCTAATTTTTGTAAAGCATCTTACAGGTTAAAAAGTGCTTTCATGCATATTATCTCTCTTAATGTAACCAAATGAGGTTGGTTGCTCTAGTCCCCGCATTTCATAGCCGAGAAAACTAGGACTCAAAGTAGGTTACTGTGTGATATGTCAGCCAGAGTTGCAGTCAAACCCAGGTTTTTAGCCCCAGATCTGCCATTTCCAGTCTACTTCAGTAGTCTGTTATTTTGCAGTTATTACTACTACTCTGTTGATACTAGCTGTTAATAAATTGGGATCATGTGCCTTTAGAAAAAAAGGAAAAATTCTGAGCTGCAAAAAGAAGTGTGCCTTGAAGATATTGATCATAGGCATAATGAATATCTTAGACTGCATCAGATTTCAATTAACAAGATTAATACTAATGCTTGGGTCTAATTTTTCATTTTATCGGTGAGGATCTTTTTCTTAGGCTTTAGGTTTACAGCATTATGATGATTAGTTTGATATTGAAATTATGATTCTTAGCCTAACTCAGTGTTGTTTAAACCTGAGTAACACTCAAACCAATCCACTTTTCAAGGTAAAAAATAATTTATGGATCCCAGTGTTAATATTGTTTGTAATATTACATAAATATGTTAAAAATTATAAATAGAGGGGCACCTAGGTGACTCAGTTAGTTAAGCATCTGACTCTTGATTTCAGCTTCAGTCATGATCTCAGGGTCCTGAGATCGAGCCCCGAGAAGGGCTCTGCGCTGGCTATGGAACCTGCTCAAGATTCTCTCTCTGCCCCTCCCTGCTCACATCCTTGCTTGAGCTCACTCTCTCTCGCTCAGAAAAATTATAAATATGAAACTGCTTATGCTAACACAATTAAATTTACAAATTAAATGCAGATAAACACCAGTTGCAGTGCCTATTGAGAGTTTTCTTAAATTCAACTAATATTCAGATTCATGAGACTCTCATAGACCATTCCTGGTAGGTCTACTCAAGCATGTAGGACAGCAGCCGTAGCTTCCCAGCAGTTTGAATCAGGATTTTCTTTCTTGTGGAAGTTTTTGCAATGGTTTCCACCAATGGTTCTCCACTGGGATGATTTGTCCCCCTACCTCCCACAGGGGACATTTGGCAATGTCTGGAGACACTTTCAGTTATCACTACTTAGGTGGTTGGGGGAGGGAGGGGCCAAGCATGCTGCTGAACATCTTAAAATGCACCGGACAGCTCCCCCAAGAACAAGCATTATCCAGCCCAAAATGTAGTAATGCCAATAGCTGGCTTACTCTGTTGGCTAGGGACTAAATTCTTTAATCTCCCCACTAGTGCCAGCTCAGGCAGGAGGAAATGAGATCCACATCAGGTGGGTATCAGTGCCTCTTTAGCAATGAGGAATGACTGCTAATGGGAACAGTGTTTCTTTTGGGGGGTGCTGAAATGTTCTGGAATTAGTGATGGTTGCACAAGCTTCTAAATAACACTAAAATCAGTTTAGGGTTTCAGAGGACAGGGGGTTGGGGAGATGGGGTTAACAGGGTAATGGGTATTAAGGAGGGCACGTGTTGTGATGAGCACTGGGTGTTATATGCAACTAATGAATCACTGAACGCTACATCAAAAACTAATGATGTACTATACAGTGGCTAACTGACCATAAAAAAATTAAAATTAAAATAAATAAAAGGGTGAATTTATAACATGTGAATTATATCTCAGTTAAAGAAAGAAAAGGTCTCACTGGCCTCCTTCCCCCTCCTTTTTTGTAACAATTCCATAAACATAGCTTCCAGGCTCCCTGCAGGGCCATGCCTAATTATAGGTCACTGTGCTCAATGAGGCCCCATGATATGATATCCCCATCTGGTGTTTACAGTTCATTTATAGTTCAAATCTAGATGCAGTTTTACAAGAGTCATTATTACCATGCTAAGTAAAACAACTAACTTTATCACGTTTCCAGGGTTACAGAAGTAGAAAGTTGAGCATAGGTCAAATTCCAAACAGAGGGATTAAAACTTTACCCATACCAATAAAATTGAAATTAGCAACATTCTAAATGATGGTATTTTGTTAAAATTATTTCTCCTCACAACATAAATGGTGCTGTGTTGGAGAGTTTTTCAAACTTT